TTTCCATATCTATTTAGGGTGAACACATGTACATAATTACTTACTGACACAGATACACATAAATTTAAATGAAAACACAGATATGGTTGCAGATATATAGATAAAGATATTAAATTATAAGCCCTGGCCGAGTAGTTCGGTTGGTAAGAGCATCATCCTGATACACCAAGGTTCAGGTTCAATCCCCGGTCAGGGCACATACAAGAATCAACTAATGAATGCATAAATAAGTGGAACAGCGAAAACCAATGTTTCTCCCTCTCTCTCCCTCTTCCTCTCTCTCTTTTTAAAATCAAATAAAAATTTTAAAAGATATTAAATTATAAATAGGTAGATAGATGTGAATTTGCCCTGCAAGTTTTCTTGGATGTTTCAACTTAATTACCATTAAATATAAAATATATTTTAATTTCTTAAATTTCTGATATAGTCTTTGCTTTGTGAAGTATTTATAGCACATATATATGAATGTTGAAAAATAATACTTCTGTCTATTACAGTAAATTATAGTAACCCTGCTTTGTAGGGAAAAAAATGGATGATCGTCTGAGGAAAAACTAACTCCCTTTGAAACTTTTAGAATTGATGTCTCAGTTTTATAGAGCATATTTTATATGAATAGAGAATATTTTACAGAAGTAGAGCATATTTTACATGGAGATCCTTCTTCATTGCACCCAAGACTAAACTGTGTTTATAGATGTCCCTGTAGGTGAATTACTGACGTTTATATGCTTACACTACACATTGTTATATGTGTTGTTGTCTCCCGTGTTATACTGACTTCCTGCAAATATCATTTCTTGTTTTATTGACTTTCCTAAGATCCTTCTTTAGTAAATATGAGAAAAAAGTCCATTATGCATTGAATACTCTATTATGTTACATTAAACTTAGTGAGTTTAGCATATTCCAATATAAAATTTGTGAGGTATATCTATTTCCTACATTTAGAAACATGTTCATCTTTAAAATAAAAACCAAATAATTACTAGCCACTGATTTTTCCATATTAAGTTGAATAAATTTGGTTTGAAAAACTATAATGAAGTCATGCATGCTCGTCATAATTGTAGAGCCAATTTGAAAAAGTAATATGAGCTGCAGGTTTTTTAATTCATACTTATAAAACAATCATATTCTCTGGTGTTTCATTGATTAATTAGGAAGTCCAAGATTATCTTGCTCATGAGGAGAAATACAGAATATGAAAGCACTCATTATTCCTGCAATTGATTTATAATTTGGCAAAGTAATTGAATAGAAAAAATGAAAAAGAAAAATCTTGAAGACCACCTTAAGAAAATATTCAGGTCTTCTCTTTACTACCTTCTCTCATAAAAGTAAATAAGTATCACACACACAAACACACACACACACACCACACACACGTGCACACACATATGCACACATACACACCACACCACCTCCAGAACAACAATAACACCTCACGAGGTTTCCATTTTCTCTTCATTGGCAGATCCATTATCATGACTTTAGCGTTTGGGAGGTGTTTCTTGCTGGTGCTAATGTAAAATGTCTTGCTTAGGCTCCAGAGATCATGCTTTTATTCAGGCACTTTGCATTCTTAATGTGGCTATAAGATCTCTTACTAGTGCTAAATTTAGGGACAAGTGCATTAACTTATTAGGGCTGCTATGGAAATGTATAAAAGTGCTACAAAGACGGTCTCCTCACTGCGCATCCCTTACTGTATTTTAATGATGAGGATGGTGGTTGTTCCCGGCAGAGGAATTTAAAGTGACTAAACACACACACAACACACACACACACACACACACACAGAAAAACTTTTTCAAGATGTTTAAAACAATCCAGGAAGCACTGCTTTCAGCTAATCACTGTGTGTGTGTGTGTGTGTGTGTGTGTGTGTGTGTGTGTGTGTATTTAATTTTTCATATACAATTTGACAGCTTTGGATATGTTACCTGATTTTTTAATCCTTAGTTTTCTTGGGACACATCAGAGTTGGAGGTTAACATCCTTTTTCTAAAGTTCTAGAATTTTATGTAAAAATCTAAATAGCATAATGTCATGATTATTTAGGAGGGTATATGTTTTAAGACACAAGGCTTTTTTAAAGAAACAATTATGCAAAATACAAAGAAAAATGTTCTATCTCAGGAAACATGTCTTATGTTCTACATACAACAGGTCATATTTATAAATGAGGGACAGGTAAAAAGAAACAAAGCTAATTAAAACCAATGTCCTTTTGGTCTTAGCATACTTTCTTCTTCCTTAAGAAAACTTAATATTATTAAAGTAGATAATTTAAGAGGTAAATTATCCAATAAAGTAGTCAGAAGTATAAATATTTAAAGTATCACATTGGGCATTTTTTTAAACTATCACACTTTTTTTTTCCAATGTTAGATTTATTTTTTACATTTAAATATTCATTTGATGGAACAAAATTAGTCTAATGTATAGCAAACTAAAGATCCATTTCACTGAAGCATCTATATTAATACCAAATAATAATCCATCTAGACTGTTCCCTTTCATAGAGAACACATTACAGCCAATGTTTATTTATTACACACTCACGTTTTTCATTAAGTTAACTTTTACCTTAATTTATAGTTTCTTCTGTACAACATATTACCATAATGCTCACATATTTTGTTATGTAATTTTTCAAAGCACTCTGATTAACTGCAGCTACTCATAGTGCAAATGTTGTAGGGAATGTATATCTGCCTCAAATCACTACTGATGTCTAAAGAGAGGTGAGCCAGAAGAAAAAAATCTCCAATTAATTTTTCCAATCCTTTAGGTGAATGTGCCATAGAAGAGAAAGTGCTTTGGCGAAACTTTGCATTTACTGGGGTCACAGGAATACACCAAATAAAATCTCCATGCAAGGTCACACTCAGAAGAGCTTCTGCTCCAACACACAATTTATCAAGTTGAGCAACACAACATTTAAAACTCTAATTTCAAAGCCAACTTTGATATTGTGATATTGTTACATAGGCATTTTTATTTCAATTATGCAATGAATACAATGATGGTGGTATAATTATGTCAACCATTTCAAAATTTTCTTAAAATATCAAATAGCATAATAAAAGGAAACATTATGCTTTTCCATTCTAGAAATTATTATATGACTTGCTTTATTAGTCTGACCAAATCTTACTCAAAGTTAGTGAATTACTTTTAAATTGATACTACCTATCTGCTCCCTCTACAGCATTTTTCTATTCATTATTCCCAGAATTAGATTTCCTCACACCAGGCACTTTATCTTACATTTTCTCATTTTTCAAAACAAACATAGAGTTTACAGTATTTTTAACATCTTGGCATATATCTAAATGCCTGCAATTGTATTTTACAAATTTGAGAAAATTTGAGTTAAAAACCATAATATATTCTACGACAAGATCACAAGTGCAAGCTGTTCATGTTATGCCCAAGTTCTTTGCTTCTGTGTGCTAGAAAGCATGTTCTTTCATCTTCTTTATCTTTTAAAAAAATCTACCATCCAAACCTGGGTTAACCAGTTTTGTAGTTACTCAAATGTATTCTGCACTTAACATAGCATTGCCTAGGCAATGAAGCAGTCTCTGAATCTTAAAATAGGATTTATTCTCTATTGAATGCAGGAGGTGTTTAAATCACTCTTTTTTCCAAGTTAAGAACATTGAATGATCACATTAATTCTTAGTCAACTATGGTTGAAAATTGATAGCTCTTCTAATTTATAATATAAAAAGTAACTTTCATGCAAAAGTTACCACTTTTTGTTGTCACAGCATCACTTCTTTTTTCACAGTACATAGATTTCAAAAACCTTGTAGAAATCTTTATAAATCTTACAGATCTATATGACAAAATATTAAATGACAACAAACATCCAAAAAGACCTCCAACTTCTCCTCAAATCTATAGTCCATTACATTCTCATCAAAAATTGATCATAAAAATAAATGTGAACTTATCTACTACAGGTGCTCACTTTTTGTCTAATGCACCCTTGTTATTTAAAGTAGATTCTAAGAGCATACACTCTTAGCAATATCTAAATGGAAACATTATAAAATGTTGATAACCTTACAATTAAAATTTGTCATACCTTTTGAGATTAATGTGCTTGAAAATTTAATAGATGTGAATGGCTATATTGATTATGCAAAAAAAAAAACCACCAATGCTCCCTCAAATCAATGCATTTTCCATGTCACTTAAAATAAAACATGCCAATTTTGCTTTTGCAACTCTTTCCCTCCTGTGGTTTTCATACAGTCTTTATTACATTAAGATATATTTGCCTACTTACTGGTAATGGAGAGCAATTATATAGCCAACCAACATGCACATTTTAGAATGCTGACCTGAGTGAGAACCACAGATAGTTGAAGAAACCTATATCAGGTAAAGTGATCACATTAACCCTGGCATCCTGTTTCCATCTATATATGTTACTCATATATCACTTCACTTTAACATTAAAAAAATAAAGAAATCATGTCTTCTTAAATTATGAAAAAGGTGCATTTATTTTTTTTTAGTTTTGACTCAAATTAAATAAGCAACAGTTATGAGAAAACCAAGGGTCCATTTCAAATTAATTTAGTAATAGCAATAAACATATACACACCAATGTGTGAGTAATTCAAAGCTACTGAAATCAACCAGCATAATATAAAGTTTGGCTTTATTTTTATAATAATGCTTCATATGCAAAATTTGAGCACTATAGAAAGAGCTTGGTTAGGTATCAGTTTTGTAAAAGTAAAATAAGAAGCAAATGTTTGCAAGTTATTTCACTGAGCATTTTAATAATACCTTATTCAAATACTATAAAATTATGTATTCTTACCTGCTTCCAAATGTTGAGAGAGAGAGAGAGAGAGAGAGAGAGAGAGAGAGACACCTACTAGGAGAAAAAGCAATATTTGCACTACTTCATTATTAGGAAAAAAAAAATTGAATAGCTCATATTCGCAACCTAAGAAAATAACACTTACTGTTGTAAGCAATGGAACTGAGTTTAGCCTTGCTCAGCACTGACGATTCCGGCAGCGTTGTGGCTTCTGTCTCATTCCTCCTCTTTTTATAGTATCTTCACAGCTGAATCTTCATGCATCTCAGTGTGCCTCCCTCTTGGAGCATTACTTCTCACTCAGACAGGCAGGAAGCTGAAGCCAAAGGAACTCTCTATCTGATTGGTTTTCATTCAGCGTTTCTGATTAATAACAGACAGTCCCTCACATAGGAAGATATTGCCGCTGATGGCGCTGCAGGGCTCCAGGTTTGGGACTGGGGCAGTAAAGACCTCTGTAGGCACAGCGATTTGCAAGCGAATGGAGTGGGAGGGAGGGCTGGGAGAAGAGAGCTTTGTCAAAGATCCCCATAAGAGAACATCACCCAGGGTTTTTAGTCTTGGTTAATCAGCTTCTTTAATCTGTTTGCAGGTGGGAGGGAAAGGTCACAGCGTGTCTAACCTGTAAATCATCTGAAGAAAATATACATCCCATGCAGAGAGCGGTGGCTCAAAGGGGACTTTGTGTGTCTTCCCTGCAGAATTCTCCACCCCTTCTTTCAGTTCAATATCACAATTCCAAGTTTAAGAAAAGGAAGAGAAAAAAATCCAAATTATATTTGTCATTGCTAATGAATTTTTATCTGTCTCTCTGAGTTTATAAACTAGCATAAATTTCCAGCACAGTAATTTAGAAGCATCTAGTATCAATGCTTTAACATGTTCTTTTTCAGTAACGAGAATGATATCTAGCATAATTTCAAGTGTCTACAACATTTTGCTTTTTACTTGATAATACAGTTAAGGGATTTTCACCTTCTCTGGAAATGTCCAGAACTAATGGTGACCATAGCCACATCACAAGAAGTAGATGGCCCACCTGTTAGATTCACTGTTGCACATTGCACAGCTACTAGGAAGGGTAAACCATAGCTGAGTCAAATCCTGTGTCAGAAGAGAAGTCCCTTTAGCACTCCTGGAAATGGCACAATAGAAGGGTATTGATCAGCAGATAAATCTTTCTGAAAAGAAATTCTAGTAATAGTTGTACAAAATGTACAGTGGGAATATGGCTCACTTTATAATGACTTGTTAAGCCACAGTAAGTAAATAGCTTAAATGCCAAACAATATCAATATCCTACTTGATGCTTCAAAGGAAAACTGAAAAAAAGGAAATAAAAACAAAATCACCACATTTTTCTCTCTCTCCAGTGGAGGTGTAGCTTAGCCATGAAGTGTAGATAATAGAGCTGCATATCTAAGACATGTGCATCATGGAAATTTATTTCTTAAAAAGGAAAACAAATATGACGAAAAGACAGTTTTACATATCCTCAAATATAAGGTGGCACTGCCAACACTTTGTAAAGCAAATCCTCAGGCAAGGATTAAAAATCAAATAAAAACAAAACAAAACACTGAAATGCTTTGCACAACAACTTTCAGGTGCCACTATTATGAATATACTCTATCAGACCTCGACACCATAGATTTGTTCCTACAACCTCAAGGTTAAGCTATACTCAAGAATGGAGCGGGACATTATAAATTGTTTCCTCCTTTTCCCTAACAAACCATCATTGCTCATATCCCTACTTACATCAAACCCCCTCTGGAGTTGAAGGTTCTCCAATCATCTGTCATCACCGTGATTTTTATCACTGTAGCTTGAGATAGCCCCAAATCTCATCAGAATCCCCTCAGACCAATTAGGCCTGATGGTGAATCTGCTTAACTTCAGAAAATTCTTTGTGTCCTTGGTCTTGTCTTTGAACATTCCCTTCAATTCCCTGATCTAACTCAAAGCTGGCTGTCATATAAAAATTATTTTCTATTTCGTATTTCTCACCTGAGAGAGGATATTAGTCCTATAGCCCATGTACTACAGGACCTGGAGTTGGGATAAATGATCTTTGCTGGGCCATTTTTCCTCTCACCTGTATCCATGCTTGCCATAGATTTCATCGTGCCTAAGTCTCGTTGTTTAAATCATTTAAAGACCTTAGTAAATTCAGCAACCCCTGAGGCGATCCACACAATGCATTGATTCCTTCTTGCCTTGTTATTTCGATTTCCAATGATCATTTCTTCCTCTCCACTTCAACTCTAAGCTCATGGTCATGCCCTACCAGAGGAGGAGAAAAAAACACACAACATGATTTTTTTTTTGGACAACCTTAACATATCTTCTCCATTCTTTACCTCAAGGTGGATTAGCCATGAGCTGACTCAATAAAACTAAATAGGCTTCCCCTTCATGACATAATCATGGCCCAAAGGCCCTACCTTAACAGCATCACCTTATCACCTTGGGCTTTGGGATTTCAACATCTGAATTATGGGAAAACACAAACATTCAGATCACAGC